GCCTCGATTGCAATACTTATGTAATCGTTTAATGAATGATTGATGACAAGGGAAAGTGTTGAAATATGTGATTAACAAATTAATATCTACTGTATACCATGGTACAATGATATCAAGGTAGGGCTATGAAACCACATGATTTTAATTTTTTTATTTTCTTGGATTAATATGTCATCTTTATTTGTTTATGTATGTGTTTTATTTTCAATAACAATAAAATTGTTCAGAAAACATTCAAATTCGGGTGTTTTCAAAATGTTTATTTCAACGTATGCATCGACAAAATCTAGAGTTTTTGTAGCGAAATAATCCTTTAGAGATATATAGTGCATGATTTTGAAAAGAAGTGTTGACCTTTCATTCAGTTATCGCGGATTTCAATTATTTATTCAAAATAAATGCAACAAGTTGTTTGATTTTTTATTGTTTTGATACTAATTCTGACATTACAAGCCAAACAGGTAAACCTCTATACTTGCAATTTTTTCAAAGTTGGCCTACCTTCTCTTCATTGTACCATGCTGTATACTATATAGTGGATTCATAACACAGTACTCCTGATATTTATCTATATGTGTTCAGAAAATATTTTTTATATCCTCTTCAATAAAAATATTCCAATCTAATACATCAGTATCATTTGTTAACTTTCCCATCGATTGCAACATTGGAGAAAGTTTGACTTAAAATATCAATCATTTTGTGATTGTGAAGAAAAAAGGTGAAAAAAAACTCTGCTAATTGACATTTGTATCAAATTTTACTAATCTAAACAAGTATGATTTGATAGTTTGATTTAGAAATAGAGTCGATATAAATTGACTAGTTAGCTTTTAACCAATAAATCCTTATAATGTGGGTTAATACGGACAAAATGTTGTATCTAAACGCGTTATAATGTCAAATGGTAATGTCGGTCCACTCCTTCCGGTACCCCACAAAATGTCAAAATCTCTACAGAAAATAATTTACCCCATAATTACCCAATTAAAAGAGAAAGAATCGTAGACTTTTGTGAAAGTTTTGCAAATTCCAATTATTGTATCAGTGCTAGATAGATGATAGATGTGGAACTTGCCAAAAAAAATTTTGGTTAACTAGATATATCTCAATATTTCTTTCAACTAGAGATCTGAGGTGAATATGGAATTTATCCGCCCACTTCTTCTGCTATCTCCACTAAATTAGGCTCAATTTAAATCAAGATCGGCCAAGACGACTACTTCCGACAACAAACCCATCTCTGATTTCTGTGTATACAAGAGATTTAAATATTTGACAATGAGATGTTGTCAAATGATTGTGTTGTAATCCCCTTATTACTTGACTTAAAATTCTTAATTCTACCATGCTATTGTGTTTGGTTAGCTTTAAATTTCAAATCACAATTATTGCTCTGTTCCTCAAGGATCTCTGTTCCTCAAGGATCTACGATAACCAACGTAGTAAAAAGTTTTAAATTCTTGCAGTTCTGGAACAGGCCATATGTTTTTTTCGCAAACGTATGCTTTATTCCAGTACTACCAATAATCTACGAGACTTGCAATTTTCTTCGATATCATAGAGGGAATGTCGGTTGCCGTACTAAAAACTTTTAAGCTGGGAATACATAAAGCGCTTATTTGGCTGGCTTAAGTCATTGCTTTACATTATTGCAGTTCTGGAACAGGCCATATGTTTTTTTGCAAAATTATGCTTTATTCCAGTACTAGTAAGAATCTACGAGACTTGTAATTTTCTTCGATATCATAGAGGGAATGTCGGTTGCCGTAGTAAAAACTTTTACATTATTGCAGTTCTAACTCACATTTTCAACATTTTCCAAAAATGATCACATGTTTCCTTCGGAACCTCTCTCATAATTAGTCAACATATTGAATAATCGAAATGCAAATCAAAATTTATTTAAATTCACGGACATTGGCTAAGGGCTTACATCTGTCGACAAACGCTTTTATTGTGTTCATGGAAGCCCAATCAATGTAAAACCTATTTTTATATTGGCAACATTGTTCTTGTTTTGACGTTTGTTCTTTGTGTTGTTGAGTCGGAGTGGTGAGTTTGTTTTTGCATTTGCAATTGCATTGTGCAAACCGAACCTGCGTCGCTGAGAACAGAGCGCTGTATTTATTTTGTAATCTCATAAAATCGATAAATCAGTTCTAAAAGTAGTTATTGTTGACAGTGTTACAGAAGGAAAGCAGCAAGCAGTCTGTTAAAATAGTTAATTAAAGTTTTCTGTTCGTGAGTCTGCAAACGAGATTTTGATCAAGCCGGAATGTGAGTAAATTTGTTCTTCATTATTGGCTGAATAATAGAAATTGTGCTAATCAATGGACGTGGTGTTGTTGAAATGCATTTCAAGTATTGTTGTTGTTGCTGTTCTTTGACGCCGCTGTATTGCATATAAACAAATATCAGGTGTGGTGAATTGAAAGGGAGCCACTAAAGACAAGAGTCAAATTTGAAGTCTATTGTTTATATTAACCCCTGATGGACTGCAAGCCAAAATTGTAACATCACAAATAAACGGGTATGTGTGAAAGCCTCAATGCCGCTCAGACCATGCATTTATTTACTCGTTAGCAGCTACAACCATGGTACAATGAAATCCTGGTGGGGCATTGCTACCAATCGGTTTGAATGCTTTCCATTTGCCTGGCTTAATTTGTCCATGTGTGTGTGTTCTTTTCAATTATATGAAAATTGTTCAGAAAATATTCAAATTCAGTTGTATTCAAAATGCGTATTACAAAATATCTGTGGACAAAATTTACACTCTTAATGGCGATATAAATCTTTAGAGAAGTATAGAACATGCTTTTGAAGGGAAATTTTGACCTCTCATTTAATGTTCGCGTTTTTTTTTGTTTATTAATTCAAAGCCAATGTTGTTATTATTATTTATTTTTTTTTTTTTATAATAAACAACTTGTTGCATTCTATTTGATAGTAATTCTTGTGTTACAATTTATACAGGCCGGCCTCTTTACTTGCAAATTTTTCCAACTTAGTCTACCTTATCTTTATTGTACTTATTATTGTATTTATTAGGAGGAGCAAGTTGAGTTTAGGGACTATGATCGGGTCTGTATATTTTGGGCATACAATATCTTTTTTATTTTTTACCATGCGATAGTCTATATAAGGCCGGCTAGTAAGGCAGCATTGTAGTCTTCTTGGTCGACTTAATATGGGCTTTGGTATGACGCATATGTCCTTAAAAGTTGGATGAGGTTTGTTTTGTTTACCTACTCAAACAAAAGATAATACAAAATAGCTATAACAAAGCTAATTGAAGAAAATTGACATTGAAAAATAAGCACCAAGCAATTAAGTAAAAAGATATATATTTTTGAAAGGTAAATCTGGATGAATAAATCCGGATTCGAAAATGGCTAACAATTAACGATTTCTCAAAACAGCAATTGTGATTGGAATCATAGTGCAAATTATATAAGAAACTGTGAGGAAAACGTACACAAATTATTGACATTTCGTTCGATTTTGAAAACCTTGTGTAACACCAAATTATTGCGCCGTGACTAGTAACAATAAACATATGATGACATATACTGAACCAATTAAAAATTAACATCATTACGTAGCGTACGAAAATATTCATATTCCCCACTATGGTAAAATGTTTTGTAATGCAGATATGGTTTTATTTTTTTTATATTTTCTTGACTTAATATTTCAACTTTATTTGTTTTTGTGTGTGTATTCTTTACAATAATAAAAAAGATGTTCAGAAAATATTCAAATTCCAATGTTTTCAAAATGTTTAGAGATATAAAGAAGATGATTTTCAAAAGAAATTTTGACCGTTCATTCAGTTTTTTGATTTTCAATTATTTATTCAAAATCAATGCAACAAGTGGTTTGGATTTTTTATTCTGATAATTCTGACATTACAAGCCAAACAGGTAGACCCCCATACTTGCAATTTTTTCACCTTCTCTTTATTATACCATGGCTGTAAGAATAAAATGGTGCAGCTATTTATAGGAAGCCTCATACTAAATAAGTATATCCAGCTCTGCATTTTTTGTAATTTACAGACAACGACATTGTTGCAAAATAACCACATCCAAAATTAATTAATTAAGTGAATCCAGGCCTTAATTTTTTGCTGTAAACAGTTTTCGTGATAATCCATCATAATGGATGAAAATGCTAGAAAAAAACGTTCGCTTTTTTTATATTACAACAATTATGCAGATTATTTTGATCAAAAAATATATATTATAAAAAATTCCCTTTTGACAGCAAAATAAGACAAAATCTGGTCTTTCCGTTTCACTCTGTAGATACACTTTGGCCAATACCGATCTTAGTTTTGTCTTTTTGGTTATGAGAAATAAAAACAGGAATAATATAAACATTTGATTGGGCAAATTTTGGATTATACGGCAATTTACCTTATTAATAGACGTGTTATATGTCTGTTGACATAAATAATCAAGTAAAAAAACATTAGGCTCGGCCGGACCGAACTTTAAATACACTCCATCATTAGCTAAAGAAAAGATTTTTTTTTATAAAAGTTTCTGCATTTAAACGTATTTCACTTTAAACTGAAAATATCAGTGAGATCGGTAGGAGAATGTAGTAAAAGCTTTCAAAATACAATAAAGTGGGTGGAGCCGTTATATGGGGGCCATACCAGAACGAGAACCTATATAGACAATTTTGTACTACAAGGATTATTATTAACAATTTTTTCATAATAATTTATTGACATTATGTAACTTTCAACATTAAAATTTGTTTCATGGAAATGTACGCACAATTTATGTTCTGTGGCAAAACAATAAAATATGGTTATTGGTTTCCAATTTGCAGCATCTACACGCACCCATAAAAAAGTAAAGCATTCCATAAAAACACAATGTAAGTAAAACACAGATGCGATTTATTTGTATAATTATCCGGCTGCAAAGTTGACACATAAACAAATACAGACATTTGTTGGATATCATTTTTGCACCACACAATTGATGCAGTATCTGTGGCTGCATTCCCATACAGCAAAGGGTTAAACCAGACCAAATTGTGCATCGCTGTCATATCGTTAATACAACTGTGCATTGTTGGTGGTGTGGTGAAATACTCGCACTCAATTTAATTTACCTATGGTGAATTTGAGACGTGAGAAAATAAAATGTCGACGCGAAAACTTTTCATTCATTAGTCAGGCGGAGTAGAGACATTCTTTGTTTGTTAATGAAAAAAATTGAACGACGACTTCAACAATTGAGACTAGATTCGATATTCCACACGAACTTGGAGTGATTAATGTAGAGTAGTGACTCGCAGATTTTAAAGCTCGTTTTGCATCCAGCCAAAAGGACAGGAAAGAGTGTAAGAGCGAGCAGCCAAACAAAGAACAGATCAAAATGGACAATGACCAAGACCATTCCGGATTTCGGATGAGACCGATGTCACCACAAGAAATCAAACCGGATATTTCACTACTCAACGAAAACAATGCATCAAATTTTTCCCCAAAGCCTGGCAGTCCTGGTCCCTTTGGTGCGATTGACTTGCAGGCAATGAATGCTGTGGCAGCTGCTGCTGCCAACAATCAGAACCAAATGCTGCAGACTACGCCGCCACAACAACAGCTACAACAACAGTACCCTCCCAATCATCCACTCAGTGGTTCGAAGCATTTGTGCTCTATATGCGGTGACAGGGCCAGTGGTAAACACTATGGTGTCTACAGTTGTGAGGGGTGTAAGGGCTTCTTCAAGCGTACGGTGCGTAAAGACTTGACGTATGCCTGTCGGGAGGACAGGAATTGTATAATTGACAAACGCCAGAGAAATCGCTGTCAGTATTGCCGTTATCAGAAGTGTTTAGCTTGTGGAATGAAACGCGAGGCAGTGCAGGAAGAGCGCCAACGCGGCACGAGAGCTGCCAACGCACGGGCCGGTGGCTTGGGCGGAATAAGTGGCAGTGGCATTGGTGGCGAGGACTTCAAGCCAAGCAGCTCCTTGCGTGATCTTACTATTGAACGTATCATTGAGGCCGAACAAAAGGCCGAGACACTAAGCGGTGATAATGTACTGCCATTCCTAAGAGTCGGCAGCAATTCCATGGTTCAGGCTGATTATAAGGGCGCGGTGTCGCATCTTTGTCAAATGGTCAACAAACAGCTCTTCCAAATGGTCGAGTATGCCCGACGTACACCACATTTTACACACTTGCAGCGGGAGGATCAAATTATGCTGCTTAAGGCCGGCTGGAATGAGTTGCTGATAGCCAATGTGGCCTGGTGTAGTATAGACTCGTTGGATGCTGAGTATGCAACGCCAGGAGGCGGCCATGACAGTTCATTTGGACGCCGTTCGCCTGTGCGCCAGCCACAACAGCTCTTCCTTAATCAAAATTTCTCATATCACCGCAACAGTGCTATCAAGGCTAATGTTGTATCCATATTCGATCGCATTCTATCCGAGCTAAGTATCAAAATGAAACGTTTGAATATCGATCGCTCCGAATTGTCGTGCTTGAAGGCCATTATTCTGTTTAACCCTGACATTCGTGGCCTAAAGTGTCGCAAGGATGTTGAAGGATGTCGCGAAAAAATATATGCCTGCCTGGACGAACACTGCCGTACAGAACATCCAGGTGATGACGGAAGGTTCGCTCAGTTATTGCTCCGATTACCGGCTTTGCGTTCCATAAGTCTAAAATGTTTGGATCATCTGTTCTTCTTCCGTTTGATTGGCGAACGACCATTAGATCAACTGTTGGCCGAACAATTAGATGCTCCAATGTGTTAAGAGTTTCATATGGGGTTTCATGTGTGATGTATGCGATGAGAGTGCGTTGCATGAGGGTGGGCGTTAATGGTGAAACCATGCCGCAGGCAAAGCCTCGTTAGAGATACGCCCACTTTTGCAGCTGAAACTCTCACAATTCGAATAGTAGCATAGTTCCATTAAGCTTTTATCACTTTCTTGTTATAGTTCTTTTAGAGAAAACTAAAACCAAAACAAACAAAGACGATATCAGTACGAGTTCGAATAATTCAATGTCAGACGATAAGCTTAGAAATTCGGTCTACACATGTGTTTAAATTCGTACTTCATTTGCTGCTATATCTCCAATAGCCCATTGTGCTAACAACACGCAATGAGCCAACAACCAGACTCTAACCAATTGAATTTGAAGTGGACGCAGTACCCCAAGGCAAATGCCGCCTCTGTATATCTTTTTGAAACATTTTTTGGTTATTTTTAATATTTTTCTTAGTTCCCAATTGCTTTGATTTAGTTATATTTTGAGAATAAGTTCAGAGTTTATATTATTTCTCTTTCTACCTATTTCCATGGATAATTTGGTTTAAATTATATTGTGTCTATTACATGCTTATGTCTGTGTATGTGACTGTAAATTAAGAATTTAAATAATGTTCTAATATTAACTATTGTATATTATTGACAGTTAAAACAATAATCAATACCTTATATAGATACAAATAGTATATAAAAATATGAAAGAAACCGAAAAAAAATATACTTATTTTATCCTGTTGAATCAAAATTATCGAATTTATCTGAATTTTTAATTGTTAGATAACCTGGTTCGGGTTAATTGCTGATTTCAGAAGCATATGCGGTTACAAATCATTCTTTTGCAAAAAAGTTAAAAATAAACCGTTAAACTTGTCAAGTAAATTAAAAAAAGTAACAAATAGTGGTCAATTGCAGGCCTTATATTCAAAATATAACACTGGACATGGTAAGTGTTCCATTGAAATTTACGTTTTTGACAGCGAGAGTCCTTCAGCATGATCGAGACAATGCAAGTTCTTCAGGTAAAATTAATAGAGAAGTCGAATTTAAAGGAATTAGGATCAATTTAATTTTTTATTCCCTATAACACTATGTGTTGGGGGTATTATAAGTTTGATTGGGCCAAAAATTATGTGACACCTCGAAATATTGGTTTCCCACATGGGAAAGTATATATGGATCTTCCTATCTCGCCGAGCTGAGTCGATCTAGCTATGTAAGTCCGCTGTCCGTCTGTTCATGTTAATTTATAATCACTCTACAGGTTGTAATTATGACCCGATCCTCACGAAATTGAAAATGGAGGTGGGGTTAAGGTCAGAATAGAACCCTATTTCTTTTGGAGATGATCGCATAATATTTAGGGGGTGAAATGGACTAAAAACTGAAAAATTTCCTGATATTCCAGTTGCTCTACAGGTCGCAATTATGGACCAATCGACGCATAACTTAGCATGTGGCTAGAGCTTAGGGCTGGGCAGAAGCCTTCCAATTTTTATGGTCATCGGCTAATATTTAGTGGGTGAAAAAGGCCATGACATTTGTGTTAAATAAAATCAAATGTTAATCCCAGCGAAATCACAAATAGACGAACAGGTCAATCCTGACCGTTACGTAGATGACGATAGTAAATATATCGGATATATGTAGCGAAATATGTACAATACATATTTACAAAGGAAGGGAATGCTAGCTAAAATAATTATATATCAAGAATGGCTGGACCGATTTTGACAAATTTTGTCAATTCAGAATGACCTCTTGGCATTAAAAGATGCCAGTATTGATGTTAATATAGATTTTGTTGTATTTTGTGACATTTTTTTTTATTTTTTTCATATTTTTTATCGCATGTGATTATTTAAATTTGACTTATAATATTGAAGTGTAAATTTTGTAATATTTTTTCACCTTACAACACAGGTTGGGGTTATTATATACAGATTGCAGTTATCGTCCGATCCTCACGAAAATTTTCACAAGGGTAGGGTTAGGCTCAGAAGGGCTAGGCCAATTGTTTTCAAAGATGTCCGCAATATATTTAGTTGAAATGGGCCAACAACTAAAAATGTTCCTGATCCTGCAGCCGTTATAAACGTCACAAATAGAAACCAAAGGACACGAAATATCGTACGAAGTTAGAGTTTAGGACAGCGGGTAAAATGGATCACTACTTTTGTGTGAAAAAATAAGAACATTACGTACAGGCGATATCCGAAATATACAAAAGGCGAACTTCTGACTTTTTATGTTGATTTCGTTGACGAAATCAACATAATTGCAGACAAGCAAATCATATAGATGAGTCTCAATTTGTAGATGATCGCAAAATATTTAGGGGTTCAAACGAACCAAAAACTGAAAAAAAATTGCTGATCACACAATTGAAGCCAATCGACACGCCTGAGAAGAGAGTTAAGGACAACGAAGAAGTCTAGCATTTTTGTTGTTCATTGGATTATATTTAGCTGTAAAATGGACCCGAACAACTAATGACACGACGCAGTGCGTAAATATTGGACAAATGTCCCTGGTCAAATTGCTAAGGGTAATACTTAGGCAGTGCGAAATCTTCTAAAATGGATTTGGACAGGGGGCTTCTAACATATTGTAGTGTTGTAGGGTATTACATGGTCGGACCCGCACAACTATAGTCTATGCTTACTTGTTTCAATTTATAATAGTGGACAATTGTCAAAAGAAATAATCAAAAAATAATTATAAAAAGAAACTTTAAATATGCAATGTTTTCTGAGGCCGCGTTCAGGCACAGAAAACATAGGGATTTTATGTATTTTAGACATTATTACTAACTGAAAATTAGAAAAATATTTGATTTACAAATCAAATGATTTTTGAGTTTTAACCACTTCTAGTCAAGGGTATTATAAATTTGATTGAAATATCTTGATAATAAAATAGGCCCAAAGTCGGCAACGATTTTACATTTTAGAAAATGAAACGTTTGCTGAGCTGAGATAATGCCAGATTGATTGCTTTTCATTACGAATTTCTAATACAAAATTTATTTCAAAATCTGACTATAAGTGCGTTTACATATAGAATCTTTAACCCTGATAATTGAGCAATAAATTGATGCCTCCGTCTCCTTTACATGAAAATGTGGACTTATGAAAATAAATTTGGGGAAGAGGTATAACCACCTAAATTTCAAATACCAAAGTTGAAACTATGCCATTGAAAAAGAGTGTTTACAAATGTCACATAATTGGTCGATATAATAGACCACCTTCAAACTTGGCATGCGTGCAAACAGAAGAAGCTATGTGCAAAATCTAAGTAAAAAAGCAGTTAGTTCTGCCGGGTCGAAAATAATAATAATAATAAAATAAATAAAATCTATTAAAAATTCAGTTGAAATCTTAAAAATACTGAATATCGGAAGGTGCCGATATATGGGGGATATAAGATGTTGTGGACCTATATAGACAATTTTATTTAAGGGGATAAAGTACTCACAAGGAATTCCTTGTTTGGATTTTCAGACAATTCGATTGAAAAATGTGACTAAAATCATCAAAATACCGAATATCGGGAGGTGCCGTTATATAGGGCTATACGATATCTTGAACCTATATAGATAATTCTCTTCCAGGGGATGAAGTACTCAGAAGGAACTTCTTGTGTGGATTTTCAGACAATTCGATTGAAAAATGTGGCTAACATCATCAAAATACCGAATATAGGGAGGTGCCCTTATACGGGGGATATACGATATTGTGGGCCTATATAAATAGTACGCTGATGAAGAATATAACATTTCGTATCGAGGAGTTACAAACTGAATGACGAACTTGATAAACCCTCCATACTATGTATGGTGGAGGGTATAAAAATTTGATAATCCAGTAAGAAAAGGACATAAGTCGAGCGGGCGTTATTACTTTCAGATGGAACTTGTATACGATATTTGGTCCAAACTTGGCAGACTTTTTCTAGTTGAAACTTGAGACTGCTGTCATTTCTAAGCCACTCGTCCGACAGTTGTTAGAATTATTCCAGTGACTGCTCATTATATTATTTACAAGCGTACAAAAGCATTTTGCTTGGAATTTTCCAGAAAAAAAGTTATTCGTGATGGAATTCAAGCGTGATAGTGTGATTTCTTTGTATTTGGCTGGAAAACCACAAGTGGCTATCGTTAGAGCACTCCAGCATTTAAATGTGAATAAATCTTTTGTGTCTCGTACCATCGCTCGTTGCTGTGATACTGGTAGCGTAGCCCGACGACAAGGAAGTGGACGGAAGAAAACCGCAACATCAGCAGAAATGGTTCGAAAAGTAAAGAAGCGACTTGATCGAAACCCGCGTCACAGTGGCCGAAAAATGACTCGTGAGCTGAACATATCGCAATATTTCATTCGCAAATATTGAGAAATGAGCTTGAAAGAGCTAAACAGTTGCTTCGCTTGGCCGAAAGTGGTAAACTGCCGAATTTGGTTTTCTCCCATGAGAAAACATTCGTTGTCCAGCAGTTTATAAACAAACAAAATGATCGTTTTTATTTGCCAAAGAGGTAAGCTAAAAATGTGCACCTTCGGTTGGCCACCAGAACTCAAGCGCAGGCCATGGTGATGGTGTGGGCCGCCATAACAGCCGATGGTCGCCCTCCGCTCGTATTAATCGACCGTGGCATCAAAATAAATGCGGCATATATTTTTGCGAAAATATTCTGGAGGGTGTATTAAAGGCTTGAGCACGCAAACATTTTGGCCGCAGACCTTGGACATTCCAACAGGACTCAGCACCATCGCACTCAGCACGCACCAACCAAGAATGGTTATAAAATGAGGCTTCTCGCTTCATTTACAGCGCACAATGGCCACCAAAATCTCCGGATACCAATCCGTTGGACTATTGTGTCTGGAGTATTTTGGAAAGCAAGGTTGGCACTAAATTGTCTATTATTCTATTTTACGCATTTGGTGGACTATAAACACAACATCGGGTAATGATGTGTATGCGGGAAATTGCTTTTACAAGAAAAGTGAGAACTCTTATTTTAATACTTTTTCTGCAAAAAAACTACACTTTTGATGAAACTACATCTGCAAATGATTACATACAATTTGTCGAAAAAGTGTGCAATCCTCTATTTAATAACACTGCACCTCAAGCGGCGCCTGAAAGTCTTGAGATGAACTACTCTACAACCGTGGGGCACATAGAACTTAATGATGAAAACTAGAAGGTTTGTCTCCTGGGCAGTGGTAGCCAAAGTTTACTGGGCGACTCACCCATTGGCTGTTTAGAAAAAGTTGACAGAACTAATTCCAGTTTCAAATATCAATGAAACTTAAATATATTAATAATTGAGTTTTGCTTGTTGAGGCGAAGATCATATGTTTATGAGTTTATTAGCTTGTTTCACTTTCGAGAGGAACTCAATAGTCTGACATTTGGAATGAAAAGGAAGTACAGAGTCAATTTCATTGCATATTTCAAGATCCTCTCGAAACAGTGGGTTCCGGTATTTTGATGATTTTTGCCAAACTTGGAATTATTCCATTTAGAGTTTGTAACCTGCTCAACACCCGGTGACATTACATTGCCTATATAGGTTAAAGTTTTACTATAGCCCCCATATAATTCGGATTATCGGTATTCTGAAAATATTTCCTAAAAATTGGTATTTGTAGTTCGTAACGGGTTAGCAGGTTAGGGCAGCTATTACGGTACCTACCGTTATTCGCCAATATTTTGTTAATTTAAGTCACCTTTTTCACAAAATAGTT